TTACTTAATAAATACTTTTCAAAAAGCATTCTACATTAAATATTTGTCTTGAAAAAATATTTGTACGTATTCAGACTATTTTTCCGCCAGAACGAGGAAATATATTGACAAAATAAAAAGTTACTTAAAATTATATCTTGTCTGAAGACACTTAAACATAAATTGGAACAAGTTTATTGCTCTCATACTTAAAGATTAATTACACTGTTCACAACAAATATGTGGTTATTAATTCTTGTATATTTTGAAAATGATTTATAAAATTTATTTCATTATAATAAGGAATATTTAAAGGGCATGCACTAGTTAGCATCTATATATACATTACTAGTTTTAACGAATAGGATAAAATACATAACATGAAGAAAAATGTGTTTTGCCATCAATTATTATGTATAGAATCTTTCATCTTGTTTGTAACAAAAGATAATGTAAATTGTTTTGTTGTTATTCATTACGGAAACAGGAGATGCATTAACTAAAACTGTATTTGTATTTTTATTGTTATGTAACCGTTTGGATTGTTTTTATATAAGTGACGCAAAAGTATTAAGTAAAAGAGACTTCGATGTAGTAAGTTGTATTAAATGATAATAAAGTTTTCAGTTACTGCAGTCTAATATTTTCGAATGATTCCGTTCATAAATCTTCGCAAACAATAACATAACATCCAAGTTTTATGAAACAAAAACAGACAAAGCGTCGAAAGTTATGAACCTCATGGTATTATGTCAATCTATTACAAAAACAGGTATAATTTTCTTTTAATAAAATATTGTTTTTATTAGCTGAGAACTTATGATATTTAAATGATGAAATGGCATTGTCTTATACATTGGAGATAATATTCCGGTACAGGATATATCGAAAATATTGGTTGAATGTAATATTACATTTGACTTGATTAAACCAGGTCTTTGTTACCTATATAGAGGTGACTACAAAGGAAATTCTAACCACCGTGCATGAGCGAGTCCAAATAGGAATATCTTATACTGAACTGTCAAGATGTTCACATCAGATATTATTCCTCACGTACAGGTCTATGTGATCTATATATGAGTTAATACAAAACATAAATCTTTAGACTAAACATTTGTCATATAATAATTAATAATTACTTATAAATTACCTCCACTTATACTGGTCTCTTTATTATATTATCGCAGAATTAGAAAATACGAAGCCACTAACCATATCTATCTCTTGGCGACTGCTAAATGAAACTTCTGAAATGAGCATGTAAAGTGCAAAAAATTTAATAAAATTGTTAGTTTAATTTCAACATTGTCACGTACGCGAAAGATTGCTTTGTTATGCTAACATCGGGACAATTATGAGGTCTTATGAGTAAACCACGTAACTGAGTCCTATACTGCTGAGCAATAGTGTCGTGGAGATACGACCACAAGGAGGCGAACAAAGGAGTGGGTAGAGGGTGTAATATACCGTACGGACATTATATATTGCTGGCTTATAACCAGTTCTTACTGTTCTTACGATTGCACTACCCTACGGTTCTGTTAGTCACAACCCCCCCCCCCCTTCTCCAGGTAAGGTATTGTTTAAAAATTAAATTGAATAAATTTTTAGAAAGGTTTTAAAATTTTCCCAGAACCGCGAGTTAGCCTTGAACCTCAAGTTATGTGACTACATACCCAACATTGCGCTTATATAAAAGACTGAAATATTTCTGCAATTATTAAAGATAATTTCTCATCTGACTCTCAACAGTCTACTACTTCCTCAATTCTACTTATATAATTGGGCCTAGTAAATCAAAAAAAAATTTAAACAAAAGTCTTTGCGGTTGAATAAAAACTTCTGCAATGTTTGCTGTCAATTAAAAGTCTCTTTAAAGATCTCAGGCCAATATTAAAATGTTACATAAGATAGGCAGACAGGTAAATATAAAACTTTTGCTATGTATAATGTTAATAGAATTCTACGTACTGGAATATTTCCATTAATTGTGAAACCATTACTATAAACACATTAACCACGGCTATCTATTGTGAAGCAAAATACATTTGCATAACGTATTACGTTCAGGAATTTGTAATGCTAATGAGGAATATTTGTCTAATGCAGAGAGAAATAAATAACTTCAAACCAAGCAAAGCTGAACTAACCAAAGGATAACTTTGTCTGTTTATTTAAAATCTACTAAGGGATCAACAAACAATTGAAGTACGGAGACAGAAAGAGGCCAACAAATACATTATTACTGTACTATAAGAAATTATATAAAACGATCACGAAACTACTACCTAAACAATGTTTTAAGATATTATTTTTGTTTTTTCTGAACACAGTTTAATCTATCACTGCCACATTCATATGTTACTTATATGTTTTTAACTCAAAGTTCGCACTTCAAAAGATGATAATGTTAAGGTTTGGACAAATAAACAAGAATTGATGTATGTAGTTCAAACCATTATATATCTAAAAAATATATTTTTTGAAAATACCTAATAATAATAACGGACATACTATCGTGGTTAATGATGAACATTTTTCCAACTATTGTAATTATAATAATACACACATAAGTAAGCTTTCGTTATAATAAGAATAAGAAAAGGTCAAGGATCAAAGCGAAAATCTTTTATTGAATTTCTGTAATTTTCTTTAAATCGTTTACTATAAGTATTAAATTTTGTTATACTATAATAATCATTACAATTCTGTGAAAATGACGCCTAGGTTTTGTACATTCTGACTTCATATAATCTCCTTTTGACAGTGTAGGACCAACCTTAGAATCATTGAACTGAGTAATGAGTATGTTGCAGTCTTAAATTTGAATAGTACTCCAATACATTTTGACGACATTTAACTTTTTTATTTTATTGTTTATTTTATCGTTAATATATTTATCAGTTTTAAATTTTCTTTAATAAACTTTATCTTGATAATCTAGCACTATTATATAAATACTTAATTACGTAGATTTTTTATGCAAATACCTATAAATTAATATATGTATTACATATCATTGAACATAACAAACCAATGTTTTTGTATATTTTTAATTCTTTAGAGTATTTTCAAAATTATAGTAAGTATTTTAAATAAAAAAGGCTATTCAATTAAACACATACCAATTTTGGTCATGTAAGACTATATTAATAAATATTTAAAGTAATTTTAACTAAATTTACATAAAACGAAACAGGTATACGAGAAAACAGGAAATTGTTACAAAATATGCAACATACATACGTGTCAACGTATCTTCCCTAGTAAGACGTGTCGCCAAATGTTCTATTTAGCGACTGTCATCTGACATTGTTACCGACGTTGTTGATAGCCAGTGAAATAAGTCTCGCTTTATATTAACATTCCGCTTGACAGTTTTCGTTTTGTATTACTGAATTCTGTGCTGCCGGGCAAGTAGTGTTTGCAAATAAAATTAATCAACCTTGGTACTAACAACTGTTCTCAAACTTGATAAAGGACACTGAGTCTCATGTCCTTGTATAGAAATTTGTAAATACTAAAGCGAGACTTATTTTAAGTATTAATTAACAACAGATTTATTTAATACATAAAGTTTTAAACAGTTGTTAAATATTACAATTTTGTGTATATTTCAACAAATTAATAAGTTTATGCATTCATTTGTGCATTTCAAGAAGTTTTTTACCATATGATAAATTTAATCTTTAAATCTCTTTCGATATATGTATTTCTTGAAATCATTTTGTAAATATCAAAAACTCTTCATCATTCTTCTGTTGTCACGTAAATATGTCGCCAATATAAGAAAGACAAAATAGAACAACATGAGATAAAATTGATATAAAAACCAAAAAGAAATCGTTTGATTAAAATTAAGAATTGGTTTGATTGGGTTGTTGACCTTACAGTGATAATATCTTTGTAAAAACATATTTTGTTATAATCTTCTTTTCTATATATTTAAAAGTCAGCATTGAACAGCATGTAAGTAAATATTTTATCATTCGTTTTATTTGAGTCTTATTTTTTAAACTTCCAAGAAAACTTAATTATTTAAGCAATTACTTAATATTTTTGTCAAATTGAAGTAATCATTGAAAATAGATGGCTCAATTTAAGGAAATAGAGATAATTACAGTACAGCTGCGGATTTTGGAGGAAAAAATACATCTTTCATAAAATATTAACTGCAAATTACATACGTATAACTTAATTTTTCTATATTAAATAGGAGTTAGAAATCAAATATTATCGATAGAATAAGGGTGAAACACACTATTTCTTACTCGTACAAATACAAATGACCTTGATAGATAACATACAAATTACGTAATTCTTTGCTTTCTGGATAAAGAAATATCATATGAAAATATAAATATTCTTATCTAAAATTGATGTATAGTTTTAAGAATCCCTTTGTTTTTTTACAAATAAGGGGTTTCGTAACTTGCATGCCCTAGATAACTCATGAGTTTTAATTAAATTAAAGCTGTACAGTTTTATTATTCTGAGTATGTTGTAGTTTTATAAATATACATCGGAAACAATAGAATTCTCAAAATAAAATATAATAAAAAATATTTCCTACAAAAAAGACAATAAGTAATAAATGCTTTAATTCCATTAATAAAATATGGATTACATTTATAAATTAAATTTACAGAAAGGTTTACAAAAAGTAACGAACAACTTGTTTGTTATTAAACATTATTTAATCATTTTGAAAGTTGTTTGAACGTGTGGGTGTGGCGGACATATTGTTCTCATTTTAAATTAAATTTAACAACTCATGCCATGTTTAACTTCAAATTCTAATGTATAGCCTTTTACGGAATAGGATGTGAAAAGGATAAGTTAATAAGTAATAAGGGTTGTGTTTTACAAAATGTGTTTGAATACACTTTAAAATAATTACTGACAAATAAACGATGTCAAATGCTGTAACATGACTTAATGCCGGTATCCTCCGGGTGGTCTTTTTTGTGGTGGTTAGCATGAGGTTATCCAAAGCATCGCACGTTATTTCTGTTAACCTATTTTCTGGCGGGATCATCGATCTGGGACCTAGAGGCCAGGGTTCGATAGCAATTTCTTTGCTGGAGCGAGATGGGGAAGTCTAAGGAACTTGCCTCTACGGTACCCAAAAAGAACCTCTCCTTCCTAAGAGAGACGTAAAAAAGTCGAAAGGTATGGCTGTGAGCGGGCCACGATACGATTCCGGAAGTATATGCACCAAGACGGGTCTGAAGGGTTCCCATCGTGCTCACACCGTTGGCCGGTGGACAACACATTTGTGGTGGTCCATACAGCATATTTGAGTTATAAACTTTGAAACAATATATTTGTTATCGTGTAACTCACTAATTCTCCCCCCCGTTTTTTGAAAGTAAAATAATGAAAACATTGTCTTAAAATCTGTTAAGGGAAGTTATTTTTTCTGGCATAGTTGACTGATTGTTTCTTTTTGCTATGATGTGTAATTATATGAATAATTGTGTACATGTTTGTAAATTAATTAATATTTCAATATGTACTTGTCAAAATAAAACATGCTAATCAAAGAGTATGTTTTGGTTCAGTCAAATGTAGAGTTTCTTTTTAAAATCATTTCTGTTATTTAATTTTGATCGCTGTTGGACGACAAATCATTTTTAGATATATTTAAATATATAAATTCTCTTTCAAACAACCGTAATTGACCTTAAAATTCGAAAACTTAAAAGATCAATCGTTGAAGAAATTAGAAATCGAACAGGACATAAACAGGAAATTACTTAATGACCTCCAATGTATTTAAAGATTTGGTTGCGAAGAAAATATTATTTCGCATTAAAAAGGTTTTACGGCGTTATTGAAAAGCTTTGGATTATTCAGGATTAAACATGTATCTTCCTTAGTATACACATACAAATATATTAATATAAACATTAACAATAAATTTTATGGCATTTAGTTTTTATATACTCGTAGCTTCCACTCTGAATATTTATTTAGATTTAGATTTATTTAGATTTCTGTCACGGCGAGGCTCCGTAAAAATTTCACACTATCAGACGTTATATTAATATTATTCAAGAATTATTAAACAATGTTTTTAATTGAAATATTTGATATTTATTTAAGATAAAAAAATGAGTTTGAGTCAGTGGTTCTGGGATAAAAGAGAATCGGATAAATAAAACTTACATGTACTCGTACCTATCATTACAAGATAAATAAGTTAATGCAAACTTGTCAATAAATACATCTCCACGCATAAATTATAATAATATTGAAAATCGTAAAAAATCAAATTTAAGTAATTTTTTCTCAAAAATATCTTCGTCAATCATTACTCAATGTTACGCAAAAACTATTGTATAGAGTTCTCGAAACAAATTGTAACAAACTAAACATGTGTTTGTCAACATGTTTTCCCCGGCGTCACCCTGTCATGACCTAAGTTAAATTTGTCATGGATAATTTTTTTATCTATGTTGGAATGTTAAAGCTTTTTGAACTCAAAAAAGACCTTAAATAATTACGTTTGTTTTATCTCTTGAAAAGTTTTGCTCATTGCCACTGTTGTAATTCAATTTACTTTATAATTGTGCAATTGTATGTATGTTGTTGTATTGTATGTATTATATGAGGACAAATTTTCACGATTCTTTTGTTCTGACGGTGTAAATGCGAAGAATAATAGTGCTATGCCCCTTTGCAGCGACTCGGAATATTACTCCCGAATAATGGAGTGTGGTTTTCTGTCAGTCCGGTGGTATGTAATTAATTATGCTTTTGAACTATTTATTGCTTGTTATCTTATCTGAACCAGGTTAGTAATTTAATTATTCCAATAGTACAAAATCAATTTTTGAACTCTTTTGCTCATCCCAAGCTCATAATCTGATTTCTAGGTTAACTTTGAGTAATACTTCAGCCCTTTTATAATCTGACTATGCAGAATCCCCAAACCATAACACGAAGCAATAAACTTCAAACCACCAAATTTGACCTGCAAATTCCGTATCTTATGTTTTTAAGAACATTTCTTCGAAAACCATACGGTACTTAAAATTCTTCTTTATTCCTCTGACCTACATATAATTATAAGGCTTTGCCTGATTGCTAAGTAGCATATTATCCTTGAATGCTAATAAATTAATATAAAACTTATTTATTACTATTTAATAATGCCATCTCAAGAGTAACTCCCATTTAGTTTTAGTTAGCTTGTTAAAATTGCAATACAACTGTCTAATTGCATTTACTTTCCTCTGTGGCTTATACATGCATATGTAAGAACATTATTTATACTTATTGGTATAAACATATCCTGAAAGGGAATATAATTATTACTTGTGCCGTTTTGGTTTACGATATTAGACCGTAATAGGCATCCTATAACCATATGTATTACATTGAATATATCTTGTTGCTAGCATAGCATCATTAATGTTAGCTGATTTAAAATACTATAACATACGTACTATAAAATTACGTTTACACGATCTTATTAATACAATTAATGATACAAGTAGCAAATATGACAATTTAAACGTATCTCATCTATTCCTTATAGTACTTTTAATTATGTCAAGGTCAAAAAAATACACAAGAACTTATTTAATATTCACATTTGTAAACGCACAATATTTTTACAATGTTCGATAACATTAGACACTTATTTTTGTTCGGAAACTTTATACTTTTAGACTAATAAATATATATGTAAGCTTTTTCATTAACGGGTGCGGCAGTGTAATTGCTAAAAATCATAAAAAATTTAAATATCAAATTAAGTTTTCAACTACGAATATTATAATTCAAAGGCAAAAAATATAAGAAATATAAATAATAAATATATTATAATTTTACCAAAAAATAGAAAGAAAAATATTAAATAAGATATGTTTCATCATCATTTTACATGTTAGAAGGGATTGGGATGTTGATGAAGGATCTACAGTCATTCTTCCAGTAAGAAAAGTAGCTCTTATCCGTAAAACATCGAAACTTGCAAACTGTAAGTGGAATTATAAGAGGAATAGTGCAATTAGTCCTTATTCATATATTATTATGTTTTCTACGACATATATAACCAATATTTTAAATATATAGAGACTATCTTTTTAAATTTATCAAGTTATATAAAACCGAATATTCTTGTTAAACAAAGATGATCACTTTGGGAAGTCATTAAAACTATGAGTACATGGATGTGCTTGACACTTACAATGAAGCGTCGTGGTACACATAGACATAAATGATCTAAGCGCACGGTAGTGCGCCGGCCAAGTTCCACAGGCCGGCGCATGCCGTGCACTATATTTACACGAACCGTTTCGACCCACTTTTGACCCCCCTGTAGCTCAGTGCCTATTGCAAGTACAGAGATAAAATTTTACCTACGTAATCATATACTAGTACTAAAGCAGTATGCCAAATTTCATAGATAAAGCTTCAGTAGATCCTGAAATATGACCCTGTGAAAATAGCTGATTTTGGCACTGACTCACTGACAGGTAATCAAAACCTCTAGGCCACTTCCCATTGTTTTAGCATTATGAAATTTGGTACACAGGTTGTGTGTTATATGTAGATTAACAAAAAATTAAGAAATTTAAGAAATCGGACAAGCGTGAGTTGCCTCAATTCTAAATATCGAATTTTTAATAAATTCGACCCAATTTTGACCCCCTGTAGCTCAGTGTCTATTGCAAGTACAGAGATAAAATTGTACCTACGTAATTATATACTAGTCCTAAAGCAGTATGCCAAATTTCATAGATAAAGCTTCAGTAGATCCTGAAATATGACCCTGTGAAAATAGCTAATTTTGGCACTGACTCACTGACAGGTAATCAAAACCTTTATATAGGCGCTCAGCTCAGCACAATAAAATACATAATAATGAAATATTAATAATTAATAATATGAGTACATCTATCAATCGGTGATAAATGAAAATAAAAAATAAATATAGTTTAAAAAAAACTAAAAAACACGCTCCAATGATGAAAGAAACCGCGTGGAAACTAATTTAACCTTTACAACCTTGGAAATAAATTTAATTTAAATTGTTTAAAATAAACAATAAATGGTATTATTGAAAAAAAAGTGTGGGGCGCTTCTCAAGAAGTGATATATGAAGCTCATCACGCTTTTTTTTCACAAAAATACCATTTATTGTTTGTTAATTTATTTTTAAATTAATATTATTGTGAAAAAAGTGTGGGGCGCTTCTTAAGAACTGATATATATATAAGGGATATAAAATATTGTCATGTATACATAATGCACACTGTATAACTTAATTAAATATTGCTTACCTAAAAAATCAGGTTTCTATTGTTATAAATTACTTTCGATAGATGGCGCTAGCGGTATAATTGAATCGCGATATTGTTTTGTCTGCAGTATATATGAATGAAAGTCGATAAGGAATCGATGACATTTCTTTCTATTTCTTTCTACACTTATGTCTTGATATCTTATACATATATGGTTACGATTACGATTAAATGGATCACTGATTTGACTTGCTAAAGGATTAATTTTGATATTGCTTATTGATTGATTACTTGTGTGTGTTAAAAGCACAAATTCACTCTATTTCTTTTCTACTATTCATTAACCAACGATGGAAATTGTACATCTTTCGGTGGTTGGCGGAGATATACCACATAGGGTAATTCCTATGCCATCAGATGGTAGCTGTATGTTTCATGCTGGAAGTTATGCATTGTACGGCTGTATAGTACGATTGTATGTACGATTTCTTGAAAAAAAGTATTGAAATCTCACCAAAAACATGCCTGTTAAAAAGGGGGCCAAGTTCCAATCGGCTAATTGTTTGCCTAAAAAAGGGGTGAAATCCAATCTAATGCCAAGTTTAGATGCACTTTGAAATCGATCATAATCATCTTCATCAACAGCATGATCCACTGGTAAACATTTGCCATTCCCAAGACTCGCCACCACACCCAGTCCTCTGCCTTCCACATCCAGCCACTACCCGACACCTTATTCACGTCAACGGTCCATCTGGCCGAAATTCACTTTACCATACACCCAACTTAAAATATGGTATAGTTGTGAAAATACGTAGGTGCTTGGTTAAAAATATCTAAAATTATAATACTTCTAAATTTTGAACTTGGCAGGTTAATTTAATTATTTAAATTATATAATATTTAAATTATATAAATATAAATAATTATATAACTAAATAATAAATTAATGATACAATTAATTAAGTGTTACGTACAGCACAAAAACCTGCCAAGTTCAAATTTAGAAGTATTATAATTTTAGATATTTTTAACCAAGC